CTAGTTTGAGCGAAGTTGCCCTAATAAGGGAAAGTTGGATAAATTATTACGTTTCAAGAAGACCACCATTGAACCACAACGAGACACGGTCTCACAAGAAATTATATAGATCAAAGCATCACCACAAAATTTCTTACACCAATAGAGATCATCTACAGAGATCATCTACAAAAAGATCATCTTTTTCATCATCTTTTTGTCGAATTTTGAAACAATTTTGTCATATCACAGGCTCTTTTTTTATTTCTTACTTTACTTGTTTCATTTGGAAGAGTCAACAACTTGCATTGTCAACTTCTTCGCATTTTCCATTCACTCCATAAATCCCCCTGACCCCCTTCTTGACCTAAACTCTTTAAACTCATTGAATTATGCAAGAAATTTTCAATTAATATTTCATTGTCTTCATTTGTAGCCATTTTGGTTTAATAGATGTGAGAAATGAGACAAAAAAAGTCAAAAGTCTCACCATTCATATTTTAGGAAAAGAAGGCCAAAAATCTATTGGTCAGTTTTAGAAGAATAAAGAATTTTTGTCGATTTTACAGCTCTATTGGGATGAAAATGAAAGAGAAATGAACTGAAATGAATGAAATGAAGGAGAAATGAACTGAAATGAAAGGGAAATGAATGAAATGAATGAAATGAAAGAGAAATGAACTGAAATGAACTGAAATCATAGTACTTTTTGACTAACTGACATAACTGACGTACTTTTTGTAGATGATCTCACAATCATGTAGACTTTTGTCAAGTGTTTATTGATCTTTATAAAGCTTAGACCTATAAATCTCATTGATCTTTATAAACTTTAGTTTCTCATGTCAATTAATTAATAGAATAGCTGAAAATAAACCCAAAAAAGACTAAAGAACAGTTCAGTTTTGAGCTTTCTTTCTTCTCAACAACCCGAGAAAGTTTAACATAAAGCAAATCATAAACTTAAGCGTAAACTGGTAATTGATCATTGTCGTTCTTGAGACTTTCTCAAGAACTTTCTCAAGAACTTTCTCGGAAGCTTTCACAACAACTTTCTCAAGAACTTTCTCAAGAACAACAATGATCAATTACCAGTTTACGTTTAAGTTTATTAGGGCCAAAAACGACCTTCCCCAAAACAACATACTATTATAAAAAAAGGCAAAGAATAAAATAATATATAAAAATAAACACAAGATGCTGATGATTAAAGCATATATTTGCCGAAGCGATCCAATAGTTGGAAATAAGCCTTACTTATTGACCTAATATAATTTGCTTTATGTTAAACTTTCTCGGGTTGTTGTGAAGAAAGAAAGCTCAAAACTGAACTGTTCTTTAGTCTTTTTTGGTCTTTAGTCTACCAGTTTACGTTTAAGTTTATGACGTTTAAGTTTTTTTTTATTTTGCTTTATGTTAAACTTTCTTGTTTTTTGGTAATTCATTCTCCTTATTTTCAGCAGCTTCAAAACTGTTTTTGAATTGCCAAACACCTTCTTATCTCAAAGATATTTGAGTACAGTTATTGGTAGTAAACAGCCACTAACAAGGCTTAGACACTGGAAGCTTTCTTTTCACCCATTTTCTGTAGTCACTGAGTTTTCAAATAGTTTTTTACACACTAATTTTTCTGTAAAACTTGTAAGGCAGTTTTCTTTTCTTCTGCCTTTTTTCTCACCGCTAAAATAAGCGGCTTTAACTCAGTGGTAAAGCATCAGCTTGTGACGTCTGTAAGTTGAGGGTTCAATTCCCCAGCTCACTCCAGTTCAATTCCCCAGCTCACCTTCGATTCCCCAGATCACCTTCAATTCCCCAGATCACCTTCAATTCCCCAGCCCACCTTCAATTCCCCAGCCCACCTTCAATTCCCCAGATCACCTTCAATTCCCCAGCTCACCTTCAATTCCCCAGCCCACCTTCAATTCCCCAGCCCACCTTCAATTCCCCAGCCCACCTTCAATTCCCCAGATCACCTTCAATTCCCCAGCCCACCTTCAATTCCCCAGCCCACCTTCAATTCCCCAGCCCACCTTCAATTCCCCAGATCACCTTCAATTCCCCAGCTTTCTTTGCCAATTTGTTTTGATAAACAAAAAGGTGAGAGAGAGGAAGAAGAAGAGAAAAGAAAGAATAGAAAGTGATTTCTTCATAAGTTCTATAAAATAAAAAAATAAAATCTATAAAGTTCTTTTTCACCCTAAGTCGCATCCAGAACTTCAAAGCCTCTTGAAAATTGTGGAAATTTCTAGAAGTACACGTAGTCATTCTTACCAAATTTCGGTCGGTTCTCATCCCCATCATCTTTCCCTTTATCATTCTTTTGCGAACCGTATTAGTAGGGTTTGGAATAAGCTCCCCTCTTGAACTTGGAGTAGGCTTCTGTCTTGGACTTGGAATAAGTTCCCCTCTTGGACTTGGAGTAGGCTTCTGTCTTGGACTTGGAATAAGTTCCCCTCTTGGACTTGGAGTAGGCTTCTGTCTTGGACTTGGAATAAGTTCCCCTCTTGGACTTGGAGTAGGCTTCTGTCTTGGACTTGGAATAAGTTCCCCTCTTGGACTTGGAATAAGCACCCGTCTGGTATCTTCTCGTCTGTAGGAAAATTCAAAGTATCTGTAAACGAATTAGATCTTATTGCCATGTCAAATCTGCCCTATATTTAATCTGCCCTATCTTTTTGTACATGTGTTTCCTAACTGTACTGTACCATTTTCCTAACTGTACTGTACCATTTTCCTAACTGTACTGTACCATTCCTAACTGTGCTTACTGTACCATTTTTCTTTTTCTTTCTTTTTTTTGTGTGAAAGTATTGTAGCAATATGTTATATGCTATTATGATTATCTGATTCGCTTCTATTCGCCCCTGCATATATATGTTGTGTCCGATTTAGATTGAACTTATCGCGGACGTTCGATTTAGATTACAGTCTATATCGGACGTCCGATTTAGATTCAATCTAAATCTTATATAGATTGAACAATAATACGTCTTATATAGATTGAACAATAATATAAACATGCTTAATCTAAGTTCTTAAGCGTTTTCTGTAGTTTTCTGCATTTTTCAAAGGTCTTTTATTGATTACAATCTATATCGGACGTCCGATACAGATCGAACAATAATAAACGTGCTTAATATATGTTCTTAAGCGTTTTTTTGCAATTTGCCCCTGAATAAAGCGTATCTATAAGCAAAGCAAAGCAAAGTTTTCTTAACAGCTTTTTTAACAGCTTAACAGAACAAGCTTTTTTCCGAATTTAACATTGTTTTGTTTTCTCTCTTTGTTTTGATGATTGTGATGATATCTCAAAAGCAACAATTCATCATTGAAGACATGAAAGGAAGTGCCGAGAAGTTCTTTTTTCAAAGGCCAACGGGTTTTCTATCATCTGTTGAAAGGGGGAAAGAGTTCGTCCAATATGGATAACCTCTCAGTGTCAGTCCGAGAAGACTTCTGATAGAAAAAGAAAGAAAAAGAAAAGCTCTCTTTTGCAAATTTCATATTCTAACCATTCCATTGTTATACTTTGGTGTCTCTTTTTTTCTTTCACCTTTCAACGTTTCCCCCAAACAGACAAAGTATCGAGTTTGCCGTTTCAGCTGCTAGAATAGCTGATTATTGTGTTCTTTAAGATCATAATCTTCTTTAACATGTTTATGATTATTATTGTGTTCTTTAAAATCCAGTTTTCAAGTAATTCAAGTATTTTGTTTATTTTGTCTATTTCAATTGATAAAAGACGATTTTAAAGAGATTATTTTATCTATTTCTATGAAAAACTTAGCTTCGTCCTATCCAATTGTTAGTTGTTGATCTAACGCATTTACAACAATTCAACGATTCAACAACTAACAAAATTTCAACGGACAATTTCTAAATCAATATCAAAAACTACTAGATCTTTCTCTTTATGAGATGATTCAACGGTTGTTTTTCCTCAAATGTTCACTCATCAAATCTCGATATTAGACGGAAAAGATTATTATTTCTCGCCCAAATAATCATTGAACAAATAGAGTTTTATGAATTCTCTCCTTTTTATTTTTGAAGATTGAGAAAAGGATCCAAGTTTGGCATATAATTTATGGGACATTTGATACCTTTTGGGGATAACCAGAAGTGGCGAAGGGCAACGATGACAGAAGTGGCAAAGGATCGAAGTTTCCAGACTAGACCTCAATAATCAAAATAGTACTTCCTCCATTCTTGTCCAGATTCTTGTCCGGATTCTTGTCCAGATTCTTGTCCAGAGTCTTTTCCAGAGTCTTTTCCAGAGTCTTTTCCAGATTCTTGTCCAGATTCTTGTCCAGATTCTTGTCCAGATTCTTGTCCAGATTCTTGTCCAGATTCTTGTCCAGATTCTTGTCCAGAGTCTTGTCCAGATTCTTGTCCAGATTCTTGTCCAGATTCTTGTCCAGATTCTTGTCCAGAGTCTTTTCCAGAGTCTTGTCCAGATTCTTGTCCAGATTCTTGTCCAGAGTCTTTTCCAGAGTCTTTTCCAAAGCCTTGTCCAGATTCTTGTCCAGATTCTTATCCAGATTCTTGAGCGTTTGTTTTTAATTCAAGATCCGTTTTGTTTTGATCTATTTTAAACCTTAACTGTATTTTGAAGCTCTTTTTGTGCTAGGATTTCACATTTAACAATGAACAAGTGCCTTATTTTATCAAAAACTGACATAAAAATCTGATTCATCATAGTCTATCGCTCGCGAAAGATCTCTTGATGTTTATGAAAACAATTGCCACGAGTCTTGGCTCAAAGACTTTTTCGTTTGAACAACGTTCATTTTTTCCTTCTTTTCTTTCTGACTTCTTTTTTTGATTAGACCATTCTCACGGAGAGATCTTGAAATTCGAGCTTCTCGGCCACACGTAGAAAAAGTCTATTCTTAAAAAAGAGATCTTTACAGAATGATAAATAATCTTAAAGTTTTTCTTTAAATTGTTTATTTAAACTTGTTGATTGTTTTGTTGATGCTTTGAAAAAGTCACTTTGCAGCTTATTTTCAGTTAATGTGATGAGCGAAGAGGCGAAAAATTTCACAAATGGCAATGATGGGAACACAAGTGATTGGTGAGTTTTGGAATTTTGGTACTTTGAAATCAAAGATGAGAATTTGTAACGTACTGAGAAAATAGTTGTTGTCTTATCCTTGAAACTTTGGAACTTTAGAAGCTGTTGTTCTTTTCGAAAAAAAACCAAAATCACTTGGTGTTGCAAAGGGGCTTTTGTGATACTAGAGTAAAAAGAGAAAGGGCAAAATCGTCGTTAATTAGGAATCACAAGTGAAGGCTAGGGAAATTAACAGGACGAGAATCGACGGGGAAGAAGAGGGGAAGAAGAGAGGAGGAAGAGGGGAAGAAGAGGGGAAGAAGAGGGGAAGAAGAGGGGAAGAAGAGGGGAAAGAGGTGTGGAATAGGGAAGAGACAAGGGGAAATGCTAGGCTAACTCATCAATGAGATGAAGAAATTTCATCGTTCATTTCTTCATTTCCATTTCTTTGTTTATTTTTTTGTTCCAAGCCTGAAGAAACCAAAAAGTTTCGTTTAATTCTTTTTCTCACGCGCGTTCTTTTCTTGTTTCCAAGCAAAGTGAGCATTAAAGGCTTAAACCTTCAACACTTTTCTCTAGTTAGACGCCAGAATTCTTAGGCGATTGTTAGAACATTAAGATTTCGAGAATTATTTTACATTAATTTTATTTGCAGCTTTTTGGATCTATTTTGTGCCAAAAATAAAAACACGCCATTTTTGGTAAACTGATAAATAAAAAAAGGTTGAGTGCGCCAAAAGGTATATGTTTTCATTTTTGAGCACAAAGTATGCAATGCCGTACTGATGATGAGATAATTTGGTCGTAGGCAAATCCAATCCAATCTCTCATACGGGGTTTCCCAAAATTATGAAGCGAATCCTGGTTTATTATTATTTTATCTTGTTCTTTTTCTTATTTATGACTAGAATTCTTTTGTATTGGCTTTTTTTAGGATGGAATCACAACTTGAAATAAGCCATGGGCATTTCATCAGTATTCCATCGCACAAAACTCGAGAAACGCAAGATTGGATTGCAAAGAGTTTTCCTGATTGGATCACAGTTGATATAAATGCTCAAAATCCAGGAGAATCGCCATCTAACGTGCCAGGAGAATGGTCATCCAACTGAATGCTTTGGATTACAGCATTTGGTCGATCTTGTAGTCCAAGGCTTGTTGCAAGCCTCACACATTAATTCAGTCTTTGAAGAAGGCTTTGGAGAAAGCTTGGGACGAGATTGATATGGAGAAGGCCATAGATGACATCAAAAAGACCATCAAAAATAAGCCCTGGGTATTTTATCAGGACGAAGTTCCATCGCACAAAGCTCGAGAAAAGCAAGATTGGATCACAGTTGACATAAACGCGCAAAATCCAGGAGAATGGCCATCCAGCTCGCCCGGAGAATGGCCATCTAACTTGCCAGGAGAATGGCTATCCAGCTGAATGTTTTGGATTACAGCATTTGGCCAATCTTTTAGTCCAAGGCTTGTTGCAAGCCTCACACATCAATTCAGTCTTTGAAGAAGGCTTTGGAGAAAGCTTGAGACAACATTGGTCATCAAGAAAAGCCCATGGATGCCTTTCCGAAACGATTACGAAAATATATTCAAGCTAAAGGACTTTAAAAAATAATCTTATATTTTTGTTATTTTCAATGATTTTTAAGTAATTTTTAAGGTATCTATAAAAATTTCCTGAAAATTAACAAAAGATCAATGGTTGAATTTCTGCTCCATAGGCTTAGGCTTAGGCTTAGGCTTAGGCTTAGGCTCAGGCTCAGGCTCAGGCTTAGGCTTAGGCTTAGGCTTAGGCTTAGGCTTAATCTTTCCTAATTTTGGAACACCCTGTACAATCCACTATCCACCATCCAACCAATCCAATATCATTTCCAAAACCTTTCCCCAATCTTTCCCCAATCTTTCTCATATTCGCACATGTTTTACCTCATCACTTCAAATAAATTTCCCACTTTTTCTGCAGCAAATTCAACGTCAATGCGCGTCGAGTTCCCTTCGTTGAAGTGGTGGGAAACTCATCTCATTTTCGTTGTTCTTCTGTCTCTCAAATTCAAAAAAGAAAGGATTCTTTCATTGATAGCCATTGAAGAAGAAGACTTCTTCGACATATAATCCTTTTCCTCTTTTCATCGACCCGTCCATATCACTTAGCCGGATTGGCTGAGGTGCTAGAGGAAAGGCAGCCCTCTCCTATATACTAGTTTTCATCTTTGTTTAAAGTTTTCGCCTTGTTTCTTCTTGCGCCTTGCTTCTTCTTGCCTGCTTGTTTCTTCACTTGACCTCAAATGTTTTCATTTTATTGAAGAAACTTTTAATCACCCAAACACTTTGCTCTTTCGTCTTTCACTTTCATTTCCAATTTGGCATCTCTCAAGTTTTACGAGATCTCTGGCAATGAACAAGAATTTTCAGAGTTCAGAAAAGTTTTATGAAAAAAGGTTTAAAACTTAAATTTAAATTCCTGAGTGCTTCAAAATCCAGTTTTTAGATTCAAAATAAACTTTTATCTCTCTCTCCTACTAAACTTTTTCTTTCAAAACATTCTTATCCATGATCCAAGTGGGCCAAATTGAATCGAAACACAATTAGAGGTATTCGAGGGGAACGGTGAAGGGGATGAAAGGGGTAGCTCTGGAAAAACCAGTTCTCCTTCCCCCCCTCTGGCATTCAATGATCTGTTTTGCATACGATTTCGTCATTGACAACGATTTAATCAAATACAAATGTACTACTTTTTGAGATTTTATTCAATCTTGTCTCCTTCTTTCAGCAGTACCATTGCTAATAGTATACTGCTTTTTTGTGTTTGAATGTTATAAAGTTCATAAACATGACATGGCTTTACCTCATTAGCTAGCACCGAGATTATTTCTATCGAAGAGATTATTCAAGAGGTCTGGAAAAAGATTATTTCAATCCAAGTGCATTCAGCTCTTAGGTTAATGACTAAGTCTTTTCGTTCCTTTTCGTACTTTCATTTAAAACCAACAAATGAACCAATTGAACTACGGTTTATTTCATTAAAAAGGCCAATTATTTTCCTGTAAAATAACATTAAAACAAGTTTAGAGTCTGGTTTTTTTGAGCGTGAAGTGCGGTAGTCAAAAAGGAGGACGGCTCGATGATACGGACACTTTAGCTTTAGAAAAGACACACTTTAGCTAAGGAAACCCATTTCGGTGTCAATAGATAAAAGATAGAGCACAAAAAGTTAGGTATATAGCCAAATTTTCAGAGAGCTTCGTTCAGCCAATTTCTTTGTAGAGGTTTTTATAAGTTTTTATGAAAAACACGTCTGGTTCACTCTCAAATTTGCTTTTAAATGAACCCAAATTGACTTAAAAAGATGGAAATTGGACAATAAACACTTTTTATTTAGAGGAAAGCATAGATTAATTGGGTGAATTAATAGATTAATTGTTATTTTTTAACGGAAGTATTAAAAGAAACGAAAAGACTTTCTGGACAGATTAATAGTATACTGCTTTTTTGTGTCTGAAAGTTATAAAGTCCATAACTATGGCATGACTTTAACTCATTAGCACTCTAGCTCATAAAATAATCAATAGCTCTAGAAAGAGATTATTTCCAAGTGCATTTAGGAACTCTGGAAAGATGGCAAAAGACTTTGGAAAAACCCTGGATGCTTGACCTTATGATACAAGCTTGACCTTATGATACTTGAGTGCCATTATTTTGGTAATTGATTTAAAAACGTTATTCGGAAGTTCTGAAACGTTTTACTATATTCTGAAGTTCATACTTGTCTATATTTCTAAACTAAAACTAAACTAAAACTTTATCAAATGACGATAAATCAGTGAGCTGTATGGCCTCAGTTCCCCTCCTCAACCGCTCCTATTTTTTTTTCCTTGATCCATTCTCCATCTCTTCCCAGAAAATAGGTTCTTTCATCGTTTCTATCCCTATCCCGCAAGTCAGTCAGTAACTTCCCCTTCTCGGTTAATTCAATTGCCCTTCTCCGGGTGGGTGAGCGCATTTGAGTCGAGGCAGAGATGAAGCCGCTAATATGCAAAAAGTTCTTCATTCTCGAAGCTTGATAACTCTTGAACTTCTCTTTAAACTTCTTCTCTTAAACTTTCAAAATCTTTATCTTTTGTCTAAATCTTGTTTTATCTGGTAACATCTTTGCAAATTATTCATCAATTTGCGGTTGTTAGGAAGTTTCCTGGCACTCCACTGTTTGGCCTTTGATGCTAGTAAAGAATATTAGATAAGGAAAAAGAATATTAGAAAGAAAATCTCTCTTAGTAATTGGGTTGATCTTGAAGTATTAGAACATTCATTTATTGCTGGAATCTCATTAGAAAACTTCTCTTTTTAAGTTTCATTTGTCAGCAATTGTTAACAACTACAGTACTGGACAATGAAATATGATATTTGAAAAACGATCGTCACTTTCGCGCGTCTGTAACTCCCTTGTCTTTGAGTTTAAACTATTAGTGTTATACATTTTCTGAAAGCTCTTTTCAAGGGCTACACAATGGTAATCTTAATATTTAGAAATACGATAAAGACAAGGGAGTTACAGACGCGCGAAAGTGACGATCCTTTTTTCAAATATGACATTGCATTGTCCAGTAGTTTACCTTTTTCAGCTTCTTGATTGGAAAAAGCCATTGTTGCCTATTCCTCGTCATTTCTATAAACGTTCTCAATATCACATGCAAGAGGTTTCCAATAATAACCCCGTAAACTACCCATTGTTACCATTTGCAGACTCGGAAATCAGATTTCCCTTCTCGCATTTCCTTTCCATATTCTCGTCCATTGTCGTTCTTTTCCCCAGTCCAGCCCAGCCTCCATTCTCAACTTTAAACAAGCGCCCTCTTCGACAAAAATTCTTAAACGATTCGTTGCTTAGCGTTTGGATTTTAACAATTCAGAGTTCTGGCTTTTTGCAATTTTGTACAAATAACTTGGAATCAAAGTAGATCGATATTTTTGCAAGTTTTCTTAGCCTATTAATTCTTCCTTAGCCTGTTAATTCTTCACTA